CTAGCCTGGGCTATCCGGGTCACAGCAATGGAGTTATAGGTAAAGGTAAAGGTTCCCTTGCTCGAAAGCTAGTCGAGTCCGACTCTAGGGTTGCGGTGCTCATCTCCGTTTCCAAGACGAAGAGCCAGCGCTGTCCGAAGACGTTTCCGTGGTCATGTGGCCGGCATGACTAAACACCAAGGCCATTCCCCTCCCACCAAAGCGGTACCTATTTACCTACTTGCCATTTCTTGCTTTCGAACTGCTAGGTTGGCAGGAGCTGGAACTAGAGACGGGAGCTCACTCCGTCATGTGGTACACTTGGGTCTCGAACTGCTGAACTACCGACCTTCCACAGCCTGCAGTTCAGCGTCTTACAGCTCTAATAGCTAGAATTCTACGACCTTCCCCAGCGCCTGTAGGGCGGGGTGGTCTGCGTCCCCCCCCCCCCCCGCCTAAGTCTGTCTCCAGCCGAAGCTGTTGAAAGCTAAACACTCCTGCATGGAAAATGTTTGTCACCGTTTCTAATATTTGATGGTCCTGGAGCGGATGCTCTGGAAGGGGAAAATAATGTTTCACGTGCTCATTTCAGTGGTGGAATCAGAGAACTCCAGGCGTCAAGAAGGAGACGTGATTCTGCAGGGGCTGCCACAAAAATCCAAGTCTGGTGCTCGGAGAAAGTTTGGCTGCTGGCGTTCCTTTCCACGCCGCAGGGCCCGCACCGCAGAATGCGGAGAAGCCGATTAAACTCGGGCATTTTCTTTCTGGGGCCGGGAGGGGAGGGGGAGGGGAGAAGAAGACACACAAGGAATATCGAGGGGGGGATTAAAAGAGGTACTATTGTTATGCTGTTTTGCTCTTTTTAATAAAAAATTATTTTTTTAAAAAAAGAGGTACTGGGTGCACACGCCATCCAAGGGCAGCAGAACACGAGGGGGCATTTCGACATTCCCTCCAGACCGGTGGGAGCGCCCTGCTTTCAAATACCACGAGGGCAACACCGCCAGCAGGATGGCAAACAGGTTGGCACCAATGCTTCCCCTAAGCTGCGGAGTCTTGTGAGCAAAAATTCTGCTTTGTGAGCTCTGTCCTGGCCTTCAAGTTGCGAGCGAGCGATTGGGCTGCTGCATCAATTAGTTTGCTCTGGAGCCGTCCCTTCCTGAGCGGAGACAAAAACGTGTGAGCTGGAGGCTAAAAAACGGTGAGCTAGCTCACACTGACTCAGCTTGGAGGGAACACTGGTTGGCACATAAACAGAGAGATATCTGAGTGCCTTCTCTTGAGCCGCGAAAACCTGGCTGGAAAACTGCCGTTCACCTGGTCCCCTGCAGAGCATACGTATCTTTTCCAGGTGATCAGAGACCGCCTCTCCCCATATGATGGAGGAGGAGAAGGAGATTGGATTTATACCCCGCCCTACACTTGGAGTCTCAGAGCGGCTTACAAACTCCTTTCCCTTCCCAGTTTGGTGTAGCGGTTAAGAGAGATATGACGAAGAAAATATTTTAAGACAAGGTGTTCAAATATTGTCCAAATCATTTCTAAAAAATATGTATGGTATCAGATTGATCTCATTTCTGTGCACTGAGGACAAGCAAGTCCTAGGTTACCAACTGAACTCTCCAATGCAAGAACAAGATGCATTTCTTCCTTTAGGAGGTGCGATTGTCACAAGAAAAGAAAAAGGTTTCAGTTTTGTTTTTGCATGTGGGTGGGTATTGTGTTTGTAATAATTGTTTGGATACACTATATTTTTAATATGCTAGTTGTGATAATTTCATGCCAAGTAAAAATGTCCATAGTCATATTTTATGTTCCTAAAGTAACAGAATGACTTTCAATCTGGAAAAATCTTAGTTTTTTTCTGGAAAAACCCGGGGGGGAAATGGGGTTTTTCCCGAGCTTCAAAATTTCCGGAAATCTAGCTGTGAGTGAGCTTTTGAGTTCCACAGGACCCTTCCTTAATCTGGACAGTCAGTACATATTAAGGAGTGGGGGAGAGGAAAAGATCTTGCAGAGCTTGATGGAAAACACATAAAACCTACAGCCTTCTTGATAGAGAGACCAGGAAGTATTGTTTAGAGGAGATGGTGCTGGATGCAGAGCGCATTTCAAGACGCATCAGAGGCTACTGGGGCAGAAAAGCCAATAAGAACACACTACTTCTGCCTTATATTGAATCAGACCACTCGTCCATCAAAGTCAGTATTGTCTACTCAGGCTGGCAGCCGCTCTCCAGGGTCTCGGGCAGAGAAAGGTCTTTCCCATCACCTCCTGCCTGGTCCTTTCAACTGGAGATACTGGGGACTCAACCTGGGACCTTCTGCACGCAAAGCAGAGGCTCTGCCACTGAGCATTAGACAAACATACAGAGCAGAGTTCCATCTGTTACTATTAGCCATAAGGCATAGATGGAACACTCTGTCTGGGGCAGTGATGCTTTGTATTCTTGGTGCTTGGGGGATAACAGTGGGAGGGCTTCTGGAGTTCTGGCCCCGCTGCTGGACCTCCTGATGGCCCCTGGGTTTTGGCCACTGTGTGACACAGAGCGTTGGGACTGGATGGGCCATTGGCCTGATCCAGCGTGGCTTCACTTATGTTCTTATGTCTGGGACAAGTGATGCTCTGTCTTCTTGGTGCTTGGGTGGGAGGGCTTCTGGAGTTCTGGCCCCACTGGTGGACCTCCTGATAGCCCCTGTTTTGGCCACTGTGTGACACAGAGTGCTGGACTGGATGGGCCATTGGTCTGATCCAACATGGCTTCTCTTATGTTCTTCTGTCTGGGGCAGTGATGCTCTGTCTTCTTGGTGCTTGGGGGGAGAGTGGGGGGGGGCTTCTGGAGTCCTGGCCCCGCTGGTGGACCTCCTGATGGCCCCTGGGTTTTGGCCACTGTGTGACACAGAGCGCTGGACTGGATGGTCCAACATGGCCTGCTCCAACATGGCTTCTCTTACGTTCTTATGAGCCACGGCCCCTCCCAAAAGGAGACGCTTTCCCTTTGGGGGAAAACACAGCCTGTCGTGCGCCTCGAAATCCGCCTGGCACCACCCGTCTTCAGCCTGCCGCTCTTTGCTTGACTCCGTTTTCAGACTCTACAAATTGCAGACCTGGGACTTTCCAATCAGGCCCAGAAACACCTTCTGCTGGTCTGAACACCCAGCCGGGTAAGGAGCACTGGAGGAGACCCTGAGCTCTCGCCCCACTTAGCGTGACATCTGGATGCGACCCAATAAAAGAAAATTACGTGGGCCGGGTATTCCAGTGGAGGGGGACTCCTTTGCTCAAACCAACCGATACAACCTAGCGTCTATTCTTAATGTGTGCGCAGCCATGAAACCACAAACCGGATCAAAGACGAGTTTTATTCGTAAAGGAGGGGTAAACAGTTCCTTTTATGGAATGGCTGCTTGAAACCACGGGGTGGATCCCGAGGGGCCGTTGCTTCCAAGTGTCAGCTAAGCTGCCATGGGGGTTGGGGGGAGGGGTCAGTTGTACTCTATATTTACATTTATTTATTTATAGCTTTGATTTCTAGACCGCCCTGACCCCGGAGGGTCTCTGGGCGGTTTACAGGGTTTCAATGTTACTATCCCTAACTACCCTACCGGCATTGTTGTTCCTCCGGCACTTTTTCTTTCTCTAATCACCTTTGCATTCTTTCTGTGCTTCTTCGCTGCTGTAACGCTTATCTCTAAGTTCTGCAGGTGGTGGGATGTTGTAGGAGCCAGTTTGGTGTAGTGGTTAAGTGCACGGACTCTAATCTGGGAGATCCGGGTTTGATTCCCCACTCCTCCACTTGCACCTGGCTGGATGACCCTGGGCAAGCCATAATTCTGGCACAGCTGTCCTTGAAAAAGAGCCGTTTCTGTCAGACTTCTCTCAGCCCCACCTACCTCAAGGGTGTCTGTTGTGGGGAGGGGAAGGGAAAGGGAAAGGAGTTGGTAAGCCGCTCTGAGACACCTTTGGGTAGTGAAGGGCGGGGTATAAATCCAATCTCTTCTTCTTCTTCTATGTCTAGTTCTAAGGGAACCGTGGGAGCGAGCTTGGTTCCCAGCTTCAGCGCAAACGGACGGAGCTCTTTCTCCCGCGCGCAGGAGAGTGGCTAATTGGCCAGGGCAGTGGGGGGGGGGATATGAATACCCTATATCCTATTATGCCCCAGGGGCAGCCGCCATTCTTAACAGTGCCTATGTTAATGCATCTATAGCTCTTCAATAAAGTATTACCTTTCCTGATAAGTATGTACTACGTTGTTGACTGTGGGTTCTGACACCAAGGAGGCTCCTTGACGTCACCAGAATGGCCCAGTGGGACCCAAGCCCCGGTCCCTGCGACCAGTGTTCCCTCTAAGCTGAGTGAGGGTGAGCCAGCTCACAGTGTTTTAGCCTCCGGCTCACACATTTTCGCCTCCGCCCAGGAAGGAGGGCTTCCAGACCAAACTGATTTATGCAGCAGCCAAGTCGCTCGCTCACAGCTTTAATGCCAGACCGGTAGCTCACAAAGTAGAAGTTTTGCTCACAAGACTCCGCCGCTTAGAGGGAGCATTGCCGGCGACTGCTCTGAAGCTTTGTTTTCGGGCCTTTACGGGAAACCACCTTGTGCACGGGACCGGTCGATCCAGAAGAACAGTTCACACGTTCCCGCTCCCACACCTGGGGGACCTTCTGCACCGTGAGGCTGGGGGGGCCAGGCACTTGCTCGGAGTGGCATGCACGGATGCCGCCCCCCCCCGCCCCACCTGCAACTCAAGAGGGTGCGGCTGGCGCATGCAGTGTGAGAGCAGGCGGGGTGGAGCAGGGTTCTGGGCTCGGCTCAGAAGGCTTGCCGGTGTGGGGGGGACAAGTTTGCAAGGCAGCCAAAAGAGGCTGAGCAAAGGGGCGGCTGACGGGGACGCGGAGGAAATGCTGCTGCGGAAGAGAACAGATGGGGGGAAAAACAAATCACAAAAGAGGAGGCAGGCAGCCCAGCTGGGGTGGCGGGGGAGAGAAAGAACCAAAAACCAGTATAAATTGGCCACTTACGGAGCAAAAGGATCTATCAAGACTTTCCGTACTCGAGGAGAGCTCCTGGGAAACGGATGAGAGGTTGGGGACGGGGTGGGTTTTCGTTGTTTTTTTTTTAAAGGAGGAAGGGAGGGAGGATGGAAGGAAGGAAAAGTAGGGAGAGAAAAAGCAAGAGTTTAAAAACCAGCTTTTGAGACGAGTCCCCCTCCCTCACCCCCCTGGAGCAATGCGCTTGCTTGACACACTTCAAGCGCCCCGCAGGGGAAACAGGTCTCTCTCACATGTTGCAGCCTTTGCCACATGGGCACCCAATTTCAGCTGCTGCAATGGGAGCCCAGGAGTTCAGGGTGCGCGCCCTGCTGGAGGATTTGCGGTCCCGGGCATTCAGATAACCTGTTCCTGCACGTGGAAGCTCCATTTCTCCAGGAAGCTAGTGGCGCTTGACAGACTTCGAAATTCACTTTATCTTTTACACAGAGTGTAGCTGGCTCCCCCCACCCCCCACATCTGGGCCTTCTTCAGTGGTCACACAAGTACATACATATACACCAAGAATGAGTGTTGATATATTCAGGTGGGGTAACCGGGTTGGTCTGAAGCCACAGAACAAAGTTTGAGTCAAATCGTAAGTTATATTTTAAGTTATATCTAACCTTGGCAGTTCATTTCCTTTGTGGTGTGTATGTAGACATCCAACCAACAATCTGACAAATTGAGCGCTTGGTCTTGTTTACTGTGGCTTTGTTTGGGGACTACCAATTTTGAGATACTCATTGAGTAACTCAAAATTGAACACTGTTGCCGATCACCTACATGGTACATTGTGGGGGAGTTCGATGCCGAAAGGCGGAGGTGCGAGTGTAAATGAGATGGAGGATGGGAGAGGGTGGCTGAAAAAGCACTGGACAATGGGTGAACATAAGAGAAGTCGTGTGGGATCAGGCCAGTGGCCCATCCAGTCCAACACTCTGTCACAGAGTGGCCAAAAATACCAGGGGCCCTCAGGAGGTCCACCAGTGGGGCCAGGACACTAGAAGCCCTCCCACTGTTGCCCCCCCACCAAGCTCCAAGAATATAGAGCATCCCTTGCCCCAGACCGAGAGTTCCTATCTATACCTTGTGGCTAATGGCCACTGATGGACCTCTGCTCCATATGTTTATCCAGTGCCCTCTTGAAGCTGCCCATGCTAGAAGCCCTCCCACTGTTGCCCCCCCCCAAGCACCAAGAATACAGAGCATCACTTGCCCCAGACCGAGAGTTCCTGTCTATACCTTGTGGCTAAGAGCCACTGATGGACCTCTGCTCCATATAAGAACATAAGAGAAGCCAAGGTTGGATCAGGCCAATGGCCCATCCAGTCCAACACTCTGTCACAGAGTGGCCAAAAATACCAGGGGCCCTCAGGAGGTCCACCAGTGGGGCCAGGACACCAGAACCCCTCCCACTCTTCCCCCCCCAAAACACCAAGAAGACAGAGCATCACCGCCCCAGACAGAAGAACAAAAGTGAAGCCGTGTTAGATCAGGCCAGTGGCCCATCCATCCAACACTCTTGTGTCACACAGTTGCCAAAACCCAGGGGTCATCAGGAGGTCCACCAGTTGGGCCAGAACTCCAGATGCCCTTCCACCCAAGCACCAAGAAGACAGCATCACTGTTCCAGACATAAGAACATGAGAAGCCAATGCTGGATCAGGCCAATGGCCCATCCAGTCCAACACTGTGTCACACAGTGGCCAAAACCCAGGGGCCATCCAGAGATCCAACAGCAGGGCCAGAACTCCAGAAGCCCTCCCACTGTTGCCCCCCCCCCAAGCACCAAGAAGACGGAGCATCCCTTGCCCCAGACATAAGAACATAAGAGAAGCCATGTTGGATCAGGCCAATGGCCCATCCAGTCCAACTCTCTGTGTCACACAGTGGCCAAAAACCAGGCGCCACCAGGAGGTCCACCAGCAAGGCCAGAACTCCAGAAGCCCTCCCACTGTGGCCCCCCAAAGCACCAAGAAAACAGAGCATCACTGCCCCAGACACGGTGTTCCATCTATACGTCGTGGCTAATAGCACCTCATGGATCTCTCCTCATGTTCATACAATCCCCTCTTGAAGCTGCCTATGCTTGCAGCCGCCGCCACTTCCTGCAGCAGTGGATTCCATGTGTTAACACCAGTGTTCCCTCTAAGCTGGGTTAGTGTGAGCCAGCTCACAGTTGTTTAGCCTCCGGCTCACACGTTTCTGTCTCGGCTCAGGAAGGAGGGCTCCAGAGCAAACTAATTTATGCAGCACCCAAATCGCTCCCTCACAACTTTAATGCCAGGAGCTCGCAAGACTCCACAGCTTAGAGGAAGTTAACATCCCGGTGATACGCCAGGAACAGACCCTGTGAACGAAAAGATGGCTCCGTTCCTCCTTCACCGTCTGAAGGCTGTTTTTGCAGCCTTCCGCCCCGCCCCCCACCTGCAGCTTCCTTTCCTCACCGCTTGCAAAAGCCCTCACCGCCAGTCCATGACACCACTGCTTGCGACACGGGCTCCCAGGGTGCGGCCTGAAGCCTTTCAAACAGTGAGGGAAGGTGCACGGCGGACAAACCAGGTCTGGCAAGGCTGTATGCAGGTAGCCCTTCTCCTCTTGAGAAACCGGAGAGCCTCAGTTTCTCCAACACCACCTCCCCCACCCCCAAGCCAGAATCCTTTCGCTAAAGCGAAGGCTAGAGATGTGAAGGCCCAGGAAAAAACTGGAAAAATTAGGGGAAACAACCATTTATCCCTGTTTTTTTCCCCTGAAGCCTTTTTTTGCTTTTTTCCGAAGAATTGAAACGAGAAAAGAAAGAAAATTGATTCGGGGGCCCAACAGCGATTAATGATCCCAGGCCCCAGGGAGGCCAGGCTTGTGCCAACCAGGGCCGGGGCCTTCTCGGCGGCGGCCCCTACCTCCTACCTACCTGCGGGAACGAGTTCCCAGAGGAGATCAGGGCCCTACGGGACCTCTCACGGTTCCGCAGGGCCTGCAAGACGGAGCTCTTCCGCCAGACTTTTGATTAGGAGCCGCCAAAGCCACTACCACCACCAATTACCTCATGGGAACATGGGGTATTGGGACGGCCCACTACAAGATCGAGCCACAGTGCTTCGACTGCCCACACCGCCGAATCGGGCTCGGAGCTTCATCTACAGGCTACCATCCTGCTCTGCCGGAATGCTTTAATAACACCGTTGAGCACTTTATTTTGATAATGGTTGTTTTTATGTGTTTTATGTGTTTTATTGTTTTATACTGGCACATAATGCCCTTTCTGTGAGCCGCCCTGAGCCCGTTCGCGGGGAGGGCAGGGTAGAAATAGAATAATAAATAAAAATAAATAAATAAACAGAATAACCAAATCAGTAATTTTTTGGTATAACTGTGAAACTAATCTGAAAAGTTGTTGTTCCAAAAAGGAAACCATCGGGTTGTAAATATTAAGTTTATACGAGCAAGAATGAATCGTTATGTAGAAAACTATGATTTAAATCTAGTCCGGTGTAGTGGTTAAGAGTGGGGGACTCCAGTCTGGGAGAACCGGGTTTGATTCCCCACTCCTTCTCCACATGCAGCTGTTGGTGTGACCTAGGGACAGTCACAAGTTCTCTCAGAGCTGTTCTCTCAGGGGCAGTCCTCGAGAGAGCTCTCTCAGCCCCACCCACCTCACAGGTGGTCTGTTGTGGGGAGGGGAGGAGAAGACGACTCCTTCGGGTAGTGAAGGACGGGGTATAAATCCAATCTCCTCCTCCTCCTCTTCTACTAGTGATTTAAATCCCGACTTGATTTAAATCAAAACCAACCTGGTTTCTTCCCCACAGTCAGTGGCTATCCAGGGCTACAGCAGACCCTTCCTTCTGGCCTGTAGTAAGGCCACACGTGGCACCCACAAGAACATGGCCTGGGATCAACTGCAAAAAGGCCAGGCGGAAAAGGAAGCCGATGGCTGGGCCGCCCCGACACTCTGCAACACGAAAGGCTGCTGAGCGCCACAGCCACTGCTCGTCAATGGCTGATGCCTCTGAGAGCCGGCGTGGCGGTTGAAGTGTCACCCTGGGATCTGGGAGACCCACGTTCCAAACCCCCCCCCTTGCTGGGTGACCTCGGGCCAGTCACACACTCTCTCAGCCCCGCCAACCTCACAAGGCTGTTGTGAGGATAAAACGAAGGAGAATGAGGTCAGCTGCTTTGGGCCCTCCCCGGCAGTGTTGCCTCCAAGCTGGTCTAGGGGGTGCCGGTGCACAAAATTTTGACTGGCGGCTCAGGCGTTTTAGCTTCCAGCTCACAAGCATTTCTTTTTCCTCCACTGGAAATAATGGATGACGGGGGCACCTCCTCCTGGGACTCACGGAACCGACAGAACATTTCTGGGGCCCATAGAAATCCCCGTAATGAAATTTGACTCCATCCTGTTTTCTCTTATAATCAGGGGTCATTTCCTGCGGGAGCGCACAGGAACGGAGCTCCGGCAGTAAGGAGCCCAGGGGGCGGGCACATGCAACAAGCCCCGCCCCCTGCTCCCAGCAGCCCTCAGTCGGGCCACGGGGAGCAAGAAGCAGCCAGGTAAGTTGCAGAGGGCCCCCCCCGGCCCACCTTCAGGTACAAGCTCTCCCTCACAGAGGGCAGATCCTGCGCGTCCCCCCCCCCAGTAACTAGCAATCCAAAACAGTCCAGTGGCACCTTTAAGACCAAGTCTTATTGAGGTACAGGCTCTCCCACCTCTGCAAGGACAGATCTGCGCGTGCACCTCCCCCCCCCAATAGTTAGCAATCCAAAACAGTCCAGTGGCACCTTTAAGACCAAGGTTTATTCAGGCACAAGCTCTCCCTCCTCTGCGAGGACAGATCTGCACGTTCCCTCCCCTCCCCCAATAGCTAGCAATCCAAAACAGTCCAGTGGAGCCTGAGCGGTGGGCGTTGCCTTCTGACACACTTCCGGTGAGGTCAGGGGGTGTGGCCTATGCAAATAAGTTATGCTAATGAGTTATATGCTAATGAGCTCCTGCACCTCTTTTCCTACGGAATGACCCCTGCTTATAGGGTTTA